TTTTTTTACAAAAAATGAAGCCAAGGCATAAGGATAAGAAATGACTAGACTATTATTAGTCTCCTGGGATAGGACACCCTTATAAGATCGTCATCGAGCCATGACCCTATGCCATAAAATCAACGCAAAATTAGCTTCCATGACCCTACGCCTTAAAATCAAAGCAAAATTAGCTTCTCTATACACATGATTAATTCTCACACTCTAGTTAACAAGAGAGCGTTTTTTACTCCGACTTCCATTTACATAAACAAACATTGCGTTGAATTCAGCCGCCAATAGTTGACTTTTCTCTATAATGAACGTGAACCATTCATTCATTCATATCCTTTCAGCTACGTGAAAGAAGACGGGTAGAAAAGGAAATACATAAATGAACGAGGACCTGGTTTAAATATTGAGAATTCAAGGAACCGCGCCTTTAATTGATTAATTAATAATCTAATTTTCCATTTATATAATAATAATAATATAATATTTCCTCTGAGAATAAGTCCATAAACAACCTACTGTTATCCACTCACGCACTCCAACTCATCATCAAGCCCAACCCCAAAGTTATCCACCTATCATTAATTTATTTTATTTAGTTAATTAAATAGGACCAACATTTCTTCACACACAACATCTAATTTAATTAATTGGTGAGTAATAGTTTGAAATACGATTTAGATTCCAACAAACTAATTTGAAATAAAGGAGCTTTCTTGAATGAATAAATGTTAAATAAATTGTTTTTTACATATATAAAACAACTACTACTTATTTTATAAAATACTTTGAATAATCAACTAATTTAATCTGATGATGGTAAAAAAATGTTAGTTAATTCAATCAATCAGTCGATAACATCCTAATAAAAGTCATTATTTCATTCAATTTTTATTATCAGTTATTCACTAAAACGAACAAACAAAGGTGATTTTTTTGTAAAATATAAAATTTCGTTCAAATTAAAGCGCAACGAGTTGCACACAGGAGTCCCTGAATAATTAATTATCCAAGTTCAACACCGTCGTTTTTTGAATTCCTCAAACATACATATATCTTAAATTTTAATAAATTTGTTAAAATATTTGGTCAAAAATACTACCAAATCAACAAAACAATACTAAAATCCTCAATTATTCAGCTGACTCTCATCACCTAATTATATATTTTAAGCTTGTTGTTTAATACAAATGTATGTACACTAACTCACATTATTTTGGTTACGTGTTTTTTGTTTCTTAAAGCTAGGTTCACAGCTCATAGCCTCATATATATCCAAGATAAAATAAAATAAAATATTTTTCAGACAAAGCATATCTACACACATACGCTCAAATTAACCCATAATAACAATCTATCTGTATTACCAAACGCGGAACAAACTATTACCTGAGATTTCTGTGGGTATATGGCGGTTTCCAACGACTCTTTTCCGGCCAGAAAACGGCGGCCGGCGATGGAAGCATTCGTGACGCCGAAGTTCTCCAGTCCGAAGCTCCTCCAATCGCTCCTCCATCTCTGTAAGGAAGTTTCTTCTCTGCAGCCGCTGGGCGTGCTTCTGAAGA